TCCTTCCTTCCTTATTTTCTTTTTTCCATCCTTCTTTCTTTCTTCCTTCCTTCCTTGCTGCTGCGGCCTGAGAGCAGACGCTGCTGCAGGAACGCGAGCTGAACGAAGCGGCGCCTTACTGTGGACGCAGTCGGCCAGGTTGGTGAGCTGCTGGGTGTTGTTGAGGACCTCGATGCTCTGGGTGTAGGGGTTGTAGCGCACCGAGAACGGCCTGGGGATGGTGGTGGCAAACTTCCTGTTTCACAAGCAGCTCAGACTCAACATCCACACCTTCAAACCGTCACGTCAAACTTCAACATGTTTCACTGGGTTTTATGCAAATCACTAACATGAGCAGGTTATTAGAAGAAAAGCCACTCTGGGGATGATGCGTTCAAATGCAGCGTTTTATTTTTATAAAAATGCGTTATCTTTTAATTCACTGGTTCATATTGGACTTTCACATCAACAAGGTGAAATATCTAATATTCAAAATCTGTTTCTTGTGCAAATATCAAAACTAACTTATAGGACAGGGTGTCCAAACTTTTAGCAACTGAACTTCAAAATAAAAATCAGGTATTTTTTAGGAAAAATGCAAAAGTTATTGTATTGTTAAAAACAAGCTAAATACACAATATTTTGATTTTTGTGCAGAAATAAATTATAAATCATCTCATTGGTATTCTAGGTTCCTCTTTTTCTCTTTTTTATATCATAGTTTAATAAATTAATTTGCTCCAATTCTACTGTTGTGTAAAAATTTTGTACTCAAATTAAAATTAAAGCCAATTTTTAGTTATTATAAAATGAATATTTTGTGTTGTTGCTCAAGTTTTCCATTTTAGAACCATTTTAATTTGTCTACATCATTTTATTTATTCATTTTAAGCATTTCACCATCAACAGTCTGGTGAAATAAAGCTGTGGTTTTCATAAATTATAGACGAGGGACGCAAATAATCATTGCAAGGGACACAAATGGCCCCCGAGCCCCTGATTTAGAATCTTGTTTTAAATAAATAACTTTAAAATATTAATAAAAGGTACCAGTTCCAGTGGCAGGAAAATTAAATAATTATTTTCTTAAAATAAGCTCCTATTTCTTGCTCGTTGGTTAGTTTTGTTTTATTTCTAGTGTTCTGCGATATTTGCACCAGAAAGTAGATAAATACCTGGTGACATTTTGTGTTTTTACAGTGAGAATCGCCTAAAATCAGAGCGCATACCTCACTTTCTCCTTGGCGTCCTCGAAGCTCTCAGCAACGAAGTAAACGGGCTGGTACTCGGTAATCGGGTATTTTTGCTGGATGGTCTTCTCCGGGTCGAAAGGTTTCAGCTGGGGCTTATCCGTTAGGCAGTACTGAAAACGATAAAAAACAAAAACAACACGTTTACAGCATTCCTCAATGGTTTCCATAGCAACAGTAAGCAGGAAGTGCAGCATGGTTTGACAGAGTGCACTTCCTGCTGGTGGCTGATGATGTAAGAAGCTGACCTGGATTTTCTCCTTCGCTCACCCAGTGAACTGAATCACAGCCGCCCAGCAGGGGGGCTTCCCCACTGACACATTGAACTGAACTTGAGTGGACCACTAACCCACTCTGAGAAACAAACTGAATGTTTCAGAACAAACTTTCCATGCTAAAGCCTCCAAATAAGCATTAGCCCCTTTACTAACCCACAGACAACCCTACAAGAAACATCCGTTTAGCATGGATGCTAACCGCATAGCTTCTGATTTTAGTTTGATTTTAGTTTTTGCACCAATGTTTAGCCTCCACTTAGCTTGATGAGTTTGACTGGCAGCCAATCAGAAAGATGAGTATGGCAAATGACATTTCAGTTATGCCATAATTATCTAAACAACTACAATGCTAAGAAAATAGAATAAAATACTATTAGAATAAAGTTGCACCAGAAATAACATGAGAATGAAATAGTATTATGAGATTAAAGTTAAAATATTACAACTTTATTCTCATTATTTTGACTTTATTATTACTGTAATCTGATAATATGACTTTAATCTCATCATTATAACTCGTTTTATGTCGACTTTATTCTTGTAAAATAATTTTTTTCCCTGTAATTTTAGGATTTTTTTCCTTATGTTTTATTTCTCGTAATATTGTGAGTTTATTCTCATATTTAAATTTATTCTCAAACATGTAATATTATGATTTAATTCTTGTAATTTTTTTAAAACTTTTTTTCTCATAAGTTATTTATCTTTTCTTAGAATTGACCCGATGCTCTGTTGTTAAAAAAAAAGAAGTTTTCATGACAAAAACTATTTCATAAATTGTACCTCAACTTTCCAGGGCCGCCACAGTCTCCCCCTTGTGGCCTCCTTGCGGCCCACGGCCTCCACTTTGAGAAACACTGTGTTATCATGTTTGAAAGCTTCCTGTTACCTTCAGCTCCCCGAATGACGACAGCAGACCAGCTCCGTACACCTTGATGTCGGAGCCTTGCTTGCAGAGGCCAAACTCGATGGTGAACCAGTAAACCTGGAAACACAAAATACGTAAAATCTGATCTCTACACTTCTTCTTAAATCTTACTTCCTCTAAAACTTTTAGTGACGTCGACCAAAAGTTCTCATGGGCTGAGAAAATACAAGTAAAAACTAAAATCATGCAAATATTTGCAGGGAAGGGGTGTTATTCATTGTAGATCCAACTAGTTTTCAAATTCTTTGGAGCTCGACTGAACAAATTTATTCTCGGTTAAAAGAACAAAACTTTAGTAATTTCTTTCAAAACTCTTATGTTTAACGAAGTTTAATTGATTAGATAAAAGCTGATTTGGGTTTTACTTATAAAAGTTTGGTTACAAAAAGATGAATAATTTATGTTAAACATATGGATAGATGGGATTTATCTGCATCATTCTTGATTTGCAGTTGGTGGCCGCACAAAATCAGTCCAAGGGCTACAAATGGCCCACGCGCCACACTTTGGGCACCCCTACTTTAGAATCGTTTACTCACTCGTTTAGAGCCACAAATATTACATGAGAATTTTAAAGAACCATTGTTTTGTTTCTATATTTTGGTTTTAAAACAAAAAAAGGAGAGAAAAACATAAAACATTGCTGTTTAATTTCTTTATTTTAGTTGTTGCTAAGATCTAGGCTGTAAACATATATTTGGTGATTCATTCCCTTATATAATAACTAAGCCAGTGTAAAAAGTTTACTTTTGTAAAACTTAAATAAATTAGTCTGTTTTATTAAATTTTTTAGGCAAAAGTTTTAGGAGCCATTTCCAGTGGGGAAGCAATTTATTTGCTTTTGAGTTGGTCTCTCAACTCTAAAATTTTAACAATTTGACTCTTTCTTCAACAGTATTATTATTGTATAGTTATTTTTTTCTAAATAATATACTCACAGTAGCAAGTTTCTCAATGTACTCATCAGGGGCACCAAGAGAAGCAAGACCGATTTCCTGTAATAAAAATAGATACGATTAATTTTCCCACAGAAAAACCTAATTAAAACATTAATTTGTTGCAGATTATGTAAGACCTTTGCTTTAGGAGGATGAATACCTGAGAAAACTGGGCAAAACGAGGGTCAGCAAACAGTGGAACGTGTCCTAGGAGTTCATGGCAAATATCCCTGTTAAAGAAAATTACATTATTTTACATCATTAATGCAAAATTCATATTTAATTTAACGACAAACGTGTGAATGCGTACGGCTCGGGTGTGTATGTGGGCTTGGAGCCGTGACGGATGTACTGCGTGGAATGGAAAACTCGGAAGGCAAGTCCGGCCAGGAAGTCCCGGGATGAGAGCAGACCGGCTACTGGGCGGAGCCGAAAACCAGTACAGGCTGTGGGAGGGCAGCAGACATGAAACACAACACGACGCGTTTTCAAACACAGGAAGTGGGGCATTTCATTAGGTCAAGCCATCTCAAAATAAGGCGCTTCATGTTGTGTGTTATGTAAGAAATTCATGACTCAGTGGGTCATGAAGAGACATTTTTACTCATGTTGTTTCTAAAAACAATCATTTCTTTAATAAATTCCCTTTTATTGCTGTAATAATAAAAAATAAGAAATTAAACACCTGATCCAGTTTATAGAAGTTTAAATAATTATTTTTAGAACATTTATGACATTTTAAAACATAAAATTGCTTTTAAATTTACCCAGATTTACACCAAGTGCTAATCTGTTTAGCTAGTGATTATTAGCCAAGATTCTTGAATGGTTTTGCAAAATTGTAAATAGATTGCTTTTAGAAAAAAAAAACTTAGCCCTCATGGAAACATTTCTAATTAATGCTTGTGCTTATCCATTAAATTATTTACTCTTAACCAAAGATTACCTGACATTTTTCATTCAGTTACCTTATAAATTTACTTTTGTTGTATAAAGTATTGCTATAAATTATTACAAAGTAAATACCAGTTTTAGACAATGGCAACAACAAATCTGATAAGGATTTTTATACACTAAAAAAATGTTTACATTGGCCATTACATTACGTAACTGATTACAAAGTTTTAATATCTGAAATCCTGCCAAGCTTTTCTGTTTTATCCACAGTTTTCACTCAACGCTGTCATTTTTCTATTTTTAAGCAGTTATGAGGCAAAACCTTAAACTGTTACTGCAGAAGTTACTCAACTAGTTGTTGCTAGGTAACCAAGGAATGAGTGAGTTGCTAGGTAACCAAAGAGTGAGTGAGTTGCTAGGTAACCAAAGAATGAGCGAGTAAAGTTGATATTGCTGTGAGAGGTGGAGCTGCTAAACCTTTTATCTTATTTCCCAGAATGCCGTGTGGTTCTGGACCAGAGTTCGGTGGATATTCTATCAGATTATCTATTGATATTGTCTACCGTGACTATTATCCAGCTATAATCTGAATTTATTAGTCACCAACTATATAAATAGCTAAAATCAAACTGTAATCAAATAATATCTGATTCATCATATTGTAAGTCTGAGACTAAAATAATAATAATAGCTTAAAACTGAATGATTCCCTATAAGACTAAACTTTAAAGAAAATGTTTAATGGTACTTGATGTTATGCTGACACATTACCCATATCTCATTCTCTCATTAGTGATCTTTTTAATGTTGAACCAGGTGAAGTTCATCTAAATCCTGTTGTTTTTTAGGCCAAAAGTTGGAAAGGTCGAGTCTGGCTCCATTAATGAAACTCACACTGCAGGAAGCGGGAGACGTCCTCCAGCTGCGGGATGTTGTCCGGCTTGTAGCCGCAGTATTCCTCCAGCAGAGGGAAAACCCGGTTGTGTTCGCGGCAGGCGTGAGTCGGGTACAGAGCCTTGAGCTCCCTGAACACAACCCCCCATGTGACCTTCTCTTCCTCCGTGTACTCCACCCTGGGGATGGCCTGGCCGCTGGGACAGACGAAGGTAAACATGTCAGATACGTAAAGAAAGCAGTTTGCTTAAAGGATTAATTCATCAAATGAGATCTGAGTTATTTGCTGAATACTCGGCAAAGCAACCTGACTTGGTGTCTTGAAAAACCCAACAAACGTAGACAGTGATGTATTTTATTGCAATTTTATGTTGTAGACCAACAAAAACAGGAAATAATGGTGAAGTGGAACAAAAATAATGCATGGATTTCATTTTTACTCAGCTGCAGTATGTAAGTTTTATTTAAAAAATGTGTTTCACATAGTTGTTAGTAGCTAAGGTAAGGTAAATTTATGTAGCACATGTTCAGCAACAAGGCATTTCAGAGTGCTTTACATGAATGAGAAGGAAATGCAAACAAAAACAACAAACCAAAAAGAGAAACCAGCACAGCAAAAGAAAAACAACACCTTAAAATGTTCCAGTTGATCTGGGTTGCTAAGTATAAAGCTAAATGTTGGTCTAAAGTAATAAGTCCTTAATACTGTCACCATGTACTGACTGTGTAATATGACACAGATAATCTGTGAAAAGACCGATTGCCTAAGACCCTCCTCCTGGCTCTGATTGGTTGTTTCTGGCTACTACTTGGAGATGACAGAGAAGCCCGATTTTTGTATTTTTCCTCAAATTATCTCTCTGTTAATGTCACAACATAGTGTCAGTTTCAACAAATATGTAAAAAACATTTTTTGTTCCAACTCCAGCTAAAGCTTCCCATCTGAAATTTTTGTTGTTGTTGTTTTGCTAAATATCTGCAGCTCAGTCAGATTGGATGGAGAACCTCTATACACAACTATTTATTGTCTTATTCTCAGTTGGACTTCAACTAGGCCCTTCAGATACATCTTAATGTTTGAATTTAATCAGTTTCCTTGTTGCTCTGGTTCCATATTTGTTTTGTTTTGTGGCTGAAGATTCTCCCACACAAATTCACAAAGTTTGTGGTTGAAACGTGACGTAAACTGTGGAAAATCTTAAGGGATATGAATACTTTTGCATGACGCTGTAATAATCTTGTTCTTAATATTCAATTGACCCGAGATTAAAAAGAAAGAGATTAAATTATTCTAATTTTCAAGGCAACAAAAAGAACTACACTGTAAAAACACAAAAGTAACTGGTGTAGTTTCTAGTGAAAATATGTTAGTACACTTGAAATAAGAGGTTTTGGAACTTGTTTTAAGTCAGTAAATCCTTAATATTGATGGAAAAAGTACTGGTTTTAACATGCAGAAAATGTTTTAAGTGAAAAAGTTTTAAAACTAGCGGAACTAGTGAGGGTTTTATCAATTTTAACCAATTATTGAGTTAAAAAAAAGCTCCTACATCTTGCTGAAAAGTTACGTGTGAATTACCTTTAAGACATTTGCACATGAACTAGCCCTAAATTACTTGATAGGATTTGTGTTTTTGCAGCATACGCTAACATTTCACACCCTAACAGCCAAAAAATCTACTTTTTAAAGAGAGTAGTTACTATCTGTAGTTGTAGGCGATGTCAGCGAACTCCTTCCTGCGGGCTCTGTACACCGGATCTTTGAAGCCCTGGACGCATAAAGGGAAATCCATGTTAGAAGTGATAAATCAAAGAGTGGAAATCCTCCACTAAACCCTCTGTGGCCTTTGACAGCATTATGCACACCGTCTCCAACAAGAGCCTCCATCTACATATTCAAATGAAACCTTTGAGGAGTGTCTTTCAGTTCACAGCAAATCCATTTTGCTTTAATGACACTGGCAAAAGGGAGCAATTATCTATAATTACAGGGGCTCAATTAAAGCAATGACATCAATTTGTGAGTCTGTGTGCTTTCCATTACAATGGACGCTGGAGTGCGCCCTGTCATCCTCGTGGCCCGGCTTTTCATGAGCCGCGTGGGCGTGGACGTGCGTATCTTTATGAAAACATGCAGGGAAGACGCAGGATGTGGAGAAACAAGATGATGGATGAGTCAGAACTCACCGGGTGATCAGCATCCAGCTCCGAACCGTAGCTGAGGATCTGGTTGGCAAAGCGGTCCAAGTCCTGGATGTCCTTCGGGAACCATGGCACTGAAGGATAAAGACATTTATTACGTGTTTTTATTAACATTTTATGGGGTTTGAACACTTTATTTTGCCTCAGATATTTATTCTTGGGTTAATCTTCATTGGACAAGAGCAGCAACCAATTATTATTTCAGTAATTGATTATTTCAATGATTAAATGGATAAAAAAAATTGGCAAATTTACAGATTTTCCATTTAGCTATTTAAGTTTTTTTTATATACAATATTACAGAATAAATAAAATAATTTAATACCTTTTTTAATTAAATAACATAATATTCCTTTAGTGAATTCAATTGGGTGAAGCTAAAACTAAACCGTTTGAGAATTTTGGCAAAAACAATATTTACAGACATGTTTTTATCTGTAAATAAAATTATCTGTTTTAATTACAGCTGCCAATAATTACTTTTTTCTAACTTTGTATACACCAGTTAATGATTAATCAATTACTAAATTAATTGATGTTTACTCTAATAATCAATTAATCAGAATTTATCCGATTAATCGTTTTAGTCCTACACTGGGCAGCCAGATTAGGAATAAATATGAGGTTTTCCTAATTTATTAAGCACCAAATTTTTTTATGCATTTCTCTTCAGTTTTAATGTTTTTTTAAATTATTATTATTTAATTATTATTATTTGACATTTTTAGTATTGTTAGAATTGTTATTAAACGACTAAGGATTTCATATGGTGTCCTATTTTTTCACAGAATAGCTACTTGGAATAAATATTAAGAAAGAATAATTCCATATTTATTTTATATTTTTTAATTCTTTAAATCAATAAAATATGCAAAGGTGTCAAAAGCTCCTATTTTCTACCTCTTCAGTGGTATAAATTGATTATTATTTCTTGTGGTTGGTCTTTAATGCAGTATTTAAGTACATGACTTTTGCTCGTTCATTCAGATTTACGGCACACAGAAAAGACAATGGTCCAGTGATAAATCTACATTTAAGCGGTGTGGTCCAGCCTCGGGCCCATAAGGACAACAGACCCCAGATCAGGCTCGCCTATAAACAGCCTGTCTCCAAAACAGGCTGTAAATTCCCTGCGTCCAACTTGACCCTGACCAGTTGACCTTGGTGTCTACATGGATCCTTGGTGGGCCTGTCTGTCTCAGTCTGCCATGACCTTGGCATGTTCTGTCTCCCTGTGAGAAACATAGAGCTCCTCTGTCTGCGCCAGGCCTGTTGGTTCTCAGTAGCTAAACTAATGTGTTTCTGGAAACAACTAATAAAGAGGTCTGGTTGGAGGAGAGGGGACATGAGTCTTACTGGCGACACTCACTGTCTACTACCATGTCTGTCTTTGGTTAATAAATGAGACACTTCAGTGGTAATAATGGCAACTTCATAAAATTTATTTCAGCCATGGATCTGAAGATGGCAGTATTTAAATTTCACCCAAACATTCATGGTCAGGATAAGATTCAACATTTTATCTATTTTTGTTTTGTGCCTGAATGTATTGATGAAACCTGTTCAAAAACTGTTATATCAATCAATTCTTAAAATTAAATAATATTACTGAACATCTTTTCAGTCCCTCCACGATTTTGTGTTTCTGGTACTAATTTGGAAACATTTGCAATATTTTGCTTATTTATGACGGTAAATGCAACTATTTATTTCTCGCTGTATAGATCATGGACTGTAATCTGACATCAACAATTTTTGAGAAGAATCTGCAATAAACTCCCAATTATATATTGGCGCAAAAAAGCACAGGGCTTTGTTGATTTTGTGTGAATTTCCATGGTAATTCTGAAGAAACTGGAGGGACTGATTGATAAAATCTGGCAGTAAACGGATAAAAACTGCATTGATTGATGACATAATATTTAAGCTCACAGGCCTTGAGTTTGACACGTGTTTTAGACCAAAAGAAACAGGATTAGTGTTTACTTAATTAAAATAAATAAAACAAAAAAGTAGCCACAAAGTGTTTTTCTGGAGCATTTCCCAAGAATAAGTTAAAACTTTTCTTAACATCTGGCCAAAATATGCTTCTTAACTTTGACTAAATGTTTTTTTAAAGCCTAGCATTGCAAAAGTGGTTTGAATGCATAGCAACATTCGCATAATTTTTCACTCTTTCCTTCATCGTGTTCTAACTGCTATAGCTAACTGTTAGCTGTTAGCATACGTAACGTCTTTAAATATGTTGATTTAATTTCAGTGTTGTTTTAACTACTTTTGAGCTAAACTAAAGTCAATAATATAATTTAATTAGTTCAAGAACTCGTGTTATGTTGAATACTGTTCCGGTATCTGATTTTGTTTAGAAAAAACTTCTGTTGCTAAGCTAAGCTAGCTGCCCCACTAGCATGCCGTGAAGCCGCGCTACAGAGCTGAGCTAATTAGCTAATCTTGGAGCCAGGTGTGCTGAAGCAGAGACACCTAAAAGTTTCACGACGCCGTGTTCACCTGGCCCTGGAGGACTGGAGTTTAGGGTGAGAGCGCTACGCTTCTTGAATATTTGGGGTGGAACAACATTTTCTTGTTTTCTGGTTTTCTTGTGTATTTATTTTTCATAAGAAATTTACAAATTGTTCAGCAAAATGTCGCATCTTAACATTAACACCTTTCCCCAAAGGTCTAAAAGTTTTTTGTTAAATATATTTATTGTTACAAAGCAAATGTAATCTTTATTAGCAGGCTTCATAAAGTCATTATTAATAAGGTAAATACATTTTAAGTAAGTTTTCTTTTTAACTTTTCACCAAAAGCTGCAAGTTTTATTTTCTCAGTCCTACTATTGCATTGTCTTTGCATTTGTTTTCACTGCTAATCACTTTATGTTTATTTAAACACGAAAGATGTTGAACAATTGCACAGTTAAAATAAATTAAAATGAAAAGGTTTCTCAAATTGATGAGTAATGTCACTGCTTAGGACAAGTTTGTAATGTAATGAATCAATAAATTCAGCTAAATAAATTCAGAAAAATAATAAAATAGTATTTCACCTATACGTTTTGTAGATGTTGAGTAAATCGTTTCAAATAAATCTTTAAACTTTTCAGGTTATGATTTTTTTGGATCCATTTAACTATGGTAATAATTAGCTGGTCATCCTTAGCCTTACTTTATTGGGAATAAGGCTGTTTTGCCTATAGAATTTAGAATTAAATATAAGTTGGATTTTCAACTTCCTATTTTTTCTGAGAGAAATTGAAGCACCATTTCTTAGACTCTCAGCTGCTTATACATTTTTACCTCTCCACACAAGCACTTAGTTATGAGTTAGTTAATGTTGTGTTTTCAAACTGACCTGTGTCCTTTTGCTTGTTGCGTGACAACTCGTGCACATGGCCGCTGATCTGCGTGCGCAGGCTGTCGATAACCTCATCCAGGGCCTGAGAGCAGCTGGGCTCCACACTGATGAAGAACTCGTACTCTTTTTTGTTCATCCGCGAAGGACGAGACTCGATGTGTGTCAGATTGATGCCATTATCCTACACAAATGAAAGGGTAAGTAAGCCTTCATCTGTTTCAGCGCACTTCCTGTCTTTCACCACCAGAGGGTGTTGTGTGATAGCTAAAGTCGTGGGTTTATCAGCATCGAGGCCTCCATGACCTGCTGTTACCAGCCTTGAACTCTGTCTGCAAACTAACTCAGCCAGACTAGACTTGCATAGAGTGCATTCACAAACCCACTTCATGGAGGCATTTCTGCTTTCTTCAGCAAAACTCCAAAACCACAGGTTTTCCAGACGTTTCTTGTTGGCATTCCTTAGTGTTTTCTTCAACATGGAAGATACCTAGCATGTGTGCCAAGTCTTTGTTTGAGTGTTCTTTCTTGTTTATGCAACATTTGGAGGGAGGAAGAGGGAGTATGTTGTTCTCTTTCTACTATAGGCTTAAAAGAAGAGGCGTGAGTGGGAGCGAGCCTCTAATTTACCCCATCTGGTTCCTATTCCACTTTTAAGTGTGGGACCATGCATTGTATTTTTGTTTCTCTAGCATTCTTTAAAAAATAGGTCAAAATTTATATGATTATTAATTTTTACTTTGCAACAAAGACAGTTAGAATTATCTAACTAGTCAGTTGTACTTGAGATTAAAATTAATTATATTTTAAGATTTAAAGGACTATTATATTCACATTTACAAAAATAATTTGAGATGAACAGAGATAAAAAAAAACAACAAAATCAGGACTTCTAAAGAAACAAAAGAGAGGAGATCCGTTTTTACTTTATAAAGCAATAAAATATATTCAGTCCAGGTATAATGAAGTATTTTTGATTAAGTAGAGTGCTGTATCATTACAAAGCAATATATATTTAATTTATATGTATATATATATATATATATATATATATATATATATATATATATATATATAATATGTTTATTATAATACATACTTCATTTTCATTTTTTTTATTTCCCTTAGGGATTAATAAAGTATTTTTGAATTTGAATATGTTTTGTTTTCATTTATTTTTCTTACGTATACACATTGCCTGTTTTGTGTTTAAGATGTATTTGTACATCTTAGTTGCTTAAATTTCATTTATTTCTGTTTTTTTAAGGAATATCTTATTTTTGAGAGGTTCTTCCAAAAGAGGAAAAATATAAGTCAAAATTAACTTTTGAGAGAAGAGGTAGACTATACAAGAAAACTACTCATTTTTATTCAAAACTTGTGTTTGTGTCAACATGTGTTCATTTTAATCTGTAAATTAATTAAATTAAAAATAAAATCTCATCTTATCCCACTTCATTCTGTTTGAATATCCCGCTGCTTACCTTTTCTACCTTTGTATAAAAACTAAAAACCGCGCTCAATCTGGTATTTTTGGCTGAAAATCATCAGGATGCAGCTGTCACTTTGTCTGATTTCTCTTTACAAGCCGTCGCTCCTTCCTGAATCCTGCTGACAACAACAATAATGTTGCATCAGCCTGAAAGGTCAAGGTCAAGGCCGGCATCACAAGTGCACCACGCAGCTTGAGTTCCTGGCGGATTAGGAGTCAGGAAGTTGTAATTTTTCAGGATTTGAATGAAGATCAGACACATGAAACCTGTTCCTCTTGTTGGCGTTAACGTTGTGGTGGAATCAGTTGGTATCTGAGCAGCAGGGAGTCGGTTCTGTCTTCACGGTTTGGGCTGGGGGTGGAGCAGGGGGAGGATCAGCACAGCAGCAGCTCATAGGTTCACCAAAAACCTTAGAGCTGCTTGTTGACGGCAACATTTTTACTCAAACTTGGCATTGATTAGAGCCAAAATGTTCACTCATAAAACCTCACAAATTCCTCTCAATCCAAAACATTATTTATTACTATTTAATAATTAATTGTTTTTCTTTCACAAAGAAGAAAAACATGGACTTTAAGGGTATGCTGCTTTTCTGCAAATCATTGTTTACTCAGGCAGTCATACCATTCATGTACTCCAGAATCAATCGATCGTTTTCACTGCAAATATTTATTTTATCCCAGAATTAGTCATATTGTTAAAAAAACATCTCTAGAACGAAAACAAGGTGGAAAGCAAAACAGTTGATTAATTACATTAACCAGGAGATTAATCTGTATCCTGTTGCATCCTGTGAGTTTAAGCTAACAATTATTGTTTAAAACGATTAAATATCTCTCATCTAGAAGAAGAGAACCGGACTTTAATCTCAGAATTTTGACTCTAAATAATACAAAAAACTTTAAATTTCTTAGATCAAAAGTCAAAATTGAGAAAAAAAAACCTTTTTTCATTCAGTGGCTCTAATCCCCTTCTGTTCTAGAGACTATTTGAAGCACTCCACACCAAACTAATGCAAGGATCCATTAGTTTAATCTCTAGAGTAGCGCAGCAGCAAATGAAGGAGTGGCAGCTTATGGCAAGCAATTTGTGTATTTATTCCATATCCATTCAGATTCACATCACATTCAGATACTTGCGGACGATTATTTGAACAGATTCTTCTGAAATTGGGAAATTTGCCTCCATTTAATTTAACCAAAATATTTTGAGTCAACTTATAAGACGCTAGCAAAGCGTTTTATACTAAATACTAAATAAAAAAGATTTTGAAGATAATGAAGCAAATTAA